CCTGCCATGGGCAGGGACACCTCACACTAAACCATATCACCCAAGGCTCTGTCCAACCTGGCCTTGAACACTGTCAGGGATGGAGCATTCACAACCTCCCTGGGCAACCCATTCCAGTGCCTCACCACCCTAACAGGAAAGAATTTCCTCCTTATATCCAATCTAAACATCCCCTGCCTAAGTTTGAATCAGTTAGCCCTTGTCCTATCACCACAATCCCTAATGAAGAGTCCCTCCCCAGCATCCCTATAGGCCCCCTTCAGATACTGGAAGGCTGCTATGAGGTCTCCACGCAGCCTTCTCTTCTCCAGGCTGAACAGCCTCAACTTTCTCAGCCTGTCTTCATACAGGAGGTGCTCCAGTTCCCTGATCATCCTCGTGGCCCTTCTCTGGACTTGTTCCAACAGTTCCATGTCCTTTTTATGTTGAGGACACCAGAACTGCACACAATACTCCAGGTGAGGTCTCAGGAGAGCAGAGGAGAGGGGCAGGATCACCTCCTTCGACCTGCTGGTCACGCTTCTTTTGATGCAGCCCAGGATACGGTTGGCTTTCTGGGCTGCAAGCACACACTGAAGCCGGCTCATGTTCATTTTCTCCTCAACCAACACCCCCAAGTCCTTCCCCGCAGGGCTGCTCTGAATCTCTTCTCTGCCCAACCTGTAGCTATGCCTGGAATTGTTCTGACCCAGGTGTAGGACCTCGCGCTTGGCATAGTATTTGGAGAATAATCTCCTGCTCAGGACTGTATGAACAAGATCACACTGCTCAGTACTAGCTAGGGGAACCCCAGGCACAATCACTGCACGCAATGTTCCCAGAAGGTTGTGCAGTAACCTCCCTGGACAGACACACGGACAGATGGCCACTTGGCCATCTTGCAGAGGGCTGGACCCCAGAGTGCATTTGTAGCCTTAACTATGCGACTGGGTGCAGCCACTGATCATCATCACATCTCCTCCTCACATCTCTCAGACTCACTCGGTGACCACTGGCAAAGCTCTGGTTCAGCTCCCAAGCAAATGGGTCCTGCTTCTTCAGAGCACTGTTGAAGAAAGTATTACAATGAAGTGACAGGAGTCGATAGCCATTTCTGAGGGAGACCACCACGGCAGAAAATGAGTACCACAAAAGGGCTTCTATCTTCTTTTTCTCTATAACCACAGAAAAAGAATCCTATTCACTATATGCAGGCCTGTGTTGATAGAAATAGCACTGAGTATGAATTAAGACCTCCAAACAAGCACCCACAGCTGCTGTGGGATAAAGAATGGAGAGATATTTTTTTAGCCACATGAGAGTGAAGAATAGTCGGAGCAGGCAAAGTGACAGGGACAGATTTGACACAAAGGACTACTTTAGATGGCAGCTAGCCACTTTGCAAGGCAGCCTGCACTTGTTGTGCAGAGAACCACTGCACACAAGTGTGATGGACCACTGTGCCCAAGTGTGACGGATCGCAACGTGATAGAAATTGTACTTGTGCTTGTACGCTCAAACCCACCACAAGACTCATAGCATGAACAGGAGATCCCCAGGCTAACGTCCTTCACACCATGTCGTAACAGTCCCTTTCAGTATATGGTATCACTGTCTAACAGTACCCACTGAGCAGATGTAATCGGCAGCGCCCTTCTGCTACTTCAAAAACTTAAAATCTGAATTACAGAGCAAATTTAATAGTTTCATTCTCACTGCACAGTTCAGCCCCTGGCACCACACAGATAATATGTTTTCTGATCCTCTACAATTGGTTTAACTGTTCCTCAAGTATTAGAACTATTCCAAAATCAATCTCCTCTCCTTATTTGAGCATAGAACACTACTTAAGTTTACTCTGACTCTTGCAGGAATAGCTTTTTCTGCATTATTCTCACAGCCACCTTGACCAGGCTTGCTTTCTAACAGCCTTTGCTCTGTTCTGACTGACCTGTCCTGCTATGCTCCCCAGTGTCCTCTAAACCTAAGCCTGAGTAATGACTGAAACTGTTCTACTTCTGAATCGTTTTCACATTTAGCCTCTCTACTCCACATCTTTTTTTCAGAGAAAGACAAAACAGACCAGACACCTCACTGCTAAAGCTCGTGCCTTGACCCCACCGGGACTTCAGACAGTTACACAAACTCATCCTGTGCCCAGCTCAGCTTCTGCTTATTATTTCCAGGAATGAGAATAAGTAAGAAAGAAATGAGAAATGATAAGAAAGAATAGCTGCAGATCATTCTCCGACAGCTTTTCAGACATGTTTCCTCACCAGACGTTCAGCTCTAACTACAAGAGCAATAACCTAATGTACAGTGGGGTCAGTGCCATAAACCATGAAGTCCCTCAAAAGAAATGTCACTGAAAAGAGAAGAGGGACTTGAAATTTAAAAATATACACTCCAATCTGTCACACTATTTTCAGTTCAGACAGTCACACTTTTGCTCAGCAAAGAGCTGTATAACATGTCTTCAAATACTACAACTTACTCAGCTTTTGCTCTTCCCAGCAAGGAACACAATCATATTTTTTAGGTTTGCCACACTAAGACAAGTCAAGTGTCTTTAAAAATGCTTTAAAAAACCCCAGCAAAACAATCTTGGCTACCGTAAAATATATCTTTTTTAAGATGGTAACATGACAGAGCTTGAAAGCTCTCCTGGCACAGGTTTCTCAAGCCCTAAACAGGATATTGCTTCTGCTGTCATCATCCATGCTGGCAAGCACATGCTAGATGCGTGATTCTCCTACTTGTGTGCCACAAAGGGATTTTTATTGATGAGGCCAAATATCTGACATAAAGAAAATTGTCAAAATCACTTTCCTGCCAGCACATAGGGCAAGCTGAAACACAGACAGGGCAAGCAATTTTTCCCTCAGTCTTGTAGAGAGTAACTGTAAGGCTTTCATAGCCCTTCTATTACAAAGATGTGTATTCTAGATGTTTGTGTTTCATAGGGGTCCATAGGCACGAATGTCAGCTTGTCTCTACAAAGACTGTAACATCCGCAGAGGCAGACTCTGACCTTTATCCTGGAAGCCAGTCTCCCTGGTGTCAGTCATTTTAGTAAGGCACTGTGGCAAAAGGCATGGTCAGAGGTGTTCTTCTGCACCCAAGCACAAACCATGAAGCAAACAGCTTTCATAAGGATTACATTTACTCAGGAAAAAATAATCCAGTCCCTGAAACGCTTTATTATGGCAACATGAAGTAGCTGGCTTTGGTGACGTTTGTTGTAGAAACTCCCTTTTCAAAAGTACTACACATTGTTATACCTCAACTCAGAGAACTGATCCGAGGGATCTGTTTGACTGATGGTTTACACTGTGAAGTTTGAGACTGAAACTGTTTGTTTTGTATCTGCTTGCTGTATTTTTGCTGGAATGGACACCCAAAATGACTGTAAGAAGCCTTCAGTCCACTTCGAAAAAGGCAGTGTGATTCCTTGAGCAAAGCACAGTCAGCTTCCCAAAACAATCACAACAAATCTAGGACTAGGGCATAAGCTCCAGGAAAGGAGAGGCTTCACCCTGCAGAAAGCAAGAGTGCAGACTGACTGACATCAGCTATTTCAGGACTAGGCTGCACCTATTTCCAAGAACATGGACACTGATTGCCATGCAATCTCTTCAGCGCAGCTAATGGAAGCTTGTAACAGATATGGGAACCAGGAATGTTGACAAAAACAAATGAACTCTGATTTCTAGACATGATTTAAGCTTTCAAAATCATTAATGCTTTGTCTAACAGCTAGTTATAGTTTATAGAGCATTAGAAATACCAAATATAAATCTTGACATAATATCAATAATAGCATAACTGTGTAAACAGGGAAGCCAGAAACCTGCATTGCTCCTGCCCTCCTCATTTCAGGGATGATTATTTAGCCTCTTATTGGGCTTGTATTCATATTTACCACATCATTACTGTGATCATTTCCTAAAACACTCAGTTATTCTGCTGCTTTATCTGCCTTGCTTGAATCAATGCATGTACTCTTCATGTCGCAATCTCATGATTAGCCCAACTGCTCTGCCTTTACGTTTATCCAGTGACACCCAATCTGCTTCCTCCTCATCTTTTGGTCTATGTCACATTGTTAACAAGACTTTATACACTGAATATTTTTGATGGCACTCTTAAGATCTGCAACACACCACATTAGGGCCCATTAAATAACTCTTCCCCAGACTCTTGTTAGTATGATTCTGCTAAGACAAGTCATTTAATTATGTGCACAGTTTGTCAACTCATATATACGTTGCACTGCTTATTCCTTTCTAGAAACTATTCAGATGCTATCCTGTCCTTCATAAACAACATGACTGTGTAACTTTGTCCATTTTGTATGCATTATATGACTAATAACGTAGGCTTTCTCAGGAAAATCAACGCTTGAAAGTGGTGTTAATTTTGAGATAATAAAAGGAATCAAGTATTCTTAAGCCAGAAAATTAATACAAAAAGTTCCATTAAAAAAATAAACTCAAACATAATCAAAAGATAGCTGCTCATCCCTCAGCCAACCACAGCTTTGCCCTGTTAGAGCACCATAGGGGGGAAAAATAGATTTTAAAGAATAGCTGTGTGAACTTCGTCAGGCTTGGATGTTTCAATTTCTTTTAACTTTGATTATGAATTTCCTGAGTATGCACCATAGTAATGCATATACCTTTAAACTAAGCCCTAACTTCAAATCAAATTTGTTGAGCTATAATTTTAAATAATAAAAAAAAAAAAGGATGCAATGTTCATTAGTACCCTGATGTAATTGTTGCTCCCATGTTGACTAGGACCCCACATTTTATAACTGGTATTTTAATCCTCTTGGCTAATTAGCCAAGTACATTACTATTCTACCCAAAGTCAGAAAACAGAAGAATAAAAAAGATAGCAAATGCTAGTGTTTTTGCATTTTGGTAAACTCTTGTTCACTGCAAAGCAGCATAATATGAAAAGTTTCCAGTAGAATACATTCTACAGCAGAAGAGACAAAAAGCAACTCTGTGACCTACCTCATATTCCCCGCCATAATGAGAAACAGATTATAAATGTGAGAAAAAATGAAGAGGAAGAGGATGGTACTGAAGAACATTGTCATCCAAGACCCATGGTCCTCTCGAAACATTTTCAGACGGAGCAACTGACCTGCATATATTATGAGAAAGCATATTTTAGTCAGCCAGTAAATACATGTGTACATGATAAGAAAATCAAAATAGAGTGCTAAGCGATTTCTTCTTAAATCCAATCAGTCCACTGTGTGCGTGGAGGACAGATTTAGTATCACGCAGCCAAAATACTCTTCTGTAGTTCAGGGTCAACAGATATTATTCCTACAAAATCACAAGCTTGCTTGCACAAACTGATGAAAAACTGGTTTGGCTTTTTACAGTCAATCACCCTTACTGAGGTGGAGGTCTGAAGGAGTCCACATCATGTCTGTGGTACATGATCACACTGTGGCTGTGGTTTTACATGCACTACATGTGATTCTACATGCTGGTTAAGGAACTTTCGATGTTTCCATTTCAGTCATTAACATCTCTACTCACTGTGCTTTCAAGCTGGCACAGCAAGCTGAGCAGCCATGCACAACTGAACAGGAGTGGAGAACTGACCCATGCAGAGAAAAGAATATTTACCATCTTTTGGTTTTTCTTTCCTTTGAATTAGTAATATGAACCTGCTGATCCCCAAGCTCAATGAACAGTTGTGCTGCACATCAGTGCAAAAACGGGAAGGAGTGATGCATTGGAAAGGCAACTGCCTAAACCATCATGTTTTCTAGAAATCATTACATCCTAACACTCCAAAACAAATGCCACAGCAGGGAAGATCTCCTGGAAGTAGTCTAGACCTCAAGGCAAGAGCAACTTTTTTAGTGGCATTTGAGCAATGTTTTAAAAACAAAACTATAAATTTTGAAGTGCCATAAGTACACCAAGCTGTGTGAGATCCAGTATTTACTGCCGTTTAGTTCTTGATCAGTAACAAGTCATTAAATCTTGATGGCTTCCTGTCTCTTTCCACTGACTATAGACAGCATCAGGCTAAATATCACATAACATGATATTAGTGATTTATCATATGTGAGAATGTGGTTGCAGAAACAGTTGAGGATGTGAGAAATTGCTTGGACTAGAGAGAAAATCCATATATCAGAGGAAAAGCCATCCCTTGAGTCAAAGACAACTCTTGCTTAAGCCCAAAAGTACACAAAAACACATGGTTAGCAATAACTAAATAATCACCTCTCCTCTCAGTAAAACTGAGATAACAATATTGTGCATTCTCATCGCTCTTCTGTTTTGTGAGGTAGTACAAGGCTGCCACGCTTTCTTGCCTGCTTTAACATCAACATAGGGAAGTCTGAAATAGTCTTAGACTCCAATAGTACTGAATTGCTGGGATGACCTCATAGAAGAGTGTGACATAGACTGGGCAAGTCCCAGAAGCCTTAGAATCAGTTTCAAATTCTACCAGTGAGACTTCAAATGACATTATGGACAAATCATTTACACTCTACGCTCAAGTCCTTGATCCACAAAGATGAAAAGTACTATTATTATCTTTCTTACAGTGTAAGCATTTGCTACATTATACCACAAGAAGACCAAAAACTTGATTAAGCCCGTAAGTAAAACCATAAAAAAAAACATATCATAAGAGAACAGAGCTTACAGCCACGCTTACAATGCAATTACTATTAATTTCCTAGTCACATATGTAGACCAAATGCTGTCACTGCATCACAGAGAACTAAGCATTCCCTAGAGTATTTGAGCTATGACTGTTTCTCATGGTAATGTCTTGCCATTTCACAAATGTAATATTGCAAGTTTGTCAGAGCATGATTGATTTTACTGTCCTATCCTCAAAAATCTTACTGCAATACAGCAATCTTCCCCACCATGCCTTTTGTAATTTATACTTGGCTTTAATGGTTCCTGCTTTTCAATGATTTAAATAGGAGTGGGTGAATGATGGTGTAAAGGTGTGGAAATATTTTTTTCAGTGCTTGACTCCCATCAAGAAGAACACATAACATTCCAGGTGGGATTTCAAAAGGGCTTTTTACCAACAGAGAACATTTAACATGTTTAAGAGAAATATAGTTGCTACAGTGGTCATTTTTACTATTAAGGTAACTTCAGAAAGACTGATCAACTTCCATGCAGTTTATTAAACAAAAATTTGTCAAATGCTGAGTTATAATGCCTCACTGCAATATTACAAAATAAGCTTCTACAGTCTTAATATTTTTTCACCACGACAACATAAAGAAAATCTCAGTTCCTTATGCGCATTTTTCTGTAACCTATTTTCAAATGTTACATTCTGAATGAGAAGTCAAGAAAAAAAAGAAAAGCAACAATAATTACTAATAATGGTATTTTTAAGAGATGCTAAGAAATATTACAGACCATTATGATTCATTTCAAATGCTAATAAAGGTGCCTGGTTCATTCATAATTTTCCTTTTCATGTCTAAGAAAGCTTTTCTCATGTGAAGTATTTGAAGCAGAAGTATGTCCCCTGTCATACATTATTTGCTTCCCTAATTTCATCAGGAAATCAAATGAGCCCATGTAGAATCTTATACTGTGTGTTTTTCTTGGACCTAAGCACTTTAATCATGTGATGTGTTGCACTTCATTCTGCAGAGAATGCCTTTTTCAAATAACAGTGGTATACCCTGTCGCTAAGAAAGATGCTCTGATGAGTCTCACCATTGGTAATAGGTGAAACTTTTGTCATGTTTTCTTCAGGAATGTATTTTTCCTGGACAAGCTTTCCTTCTCTGTCTTCTCATCTTACCTTTTTCGCTTTGTCCTCCTGCATTAACATAAACACAGGCATTTCTCACCTCTGTTTCCTGTAGCCCTTTACCCATTTCAGCTGCTCATACAATTACATTCCATTCAATTTTCAGATCTTCATGTCTGCTCTCATCCTTCTTTTCCTCTTCTGAATCCCTCCATTTTGTTCAGCCCTCTCCTTTCCTAAACCAAACATATCTACTGGCTTTTAGCACCATTACAGATTCCATACTTGCTTCAGCATGAATACTCTGTCACCTTTTGTCTTTTATCTCCAAACATTTTAGGAACACTGTTTATTCACTCACTGGAAGTTTTTTTTTTCTCTTGGACCTCTACAATTCCGTTACAGCTCCTTGAGCTGTTCTTATCATAATTCTTAGTGGTGACTTTCTTAAAGCTCAGCCATAGTAGTTCCTCCTCATCTAGATGAGTATCATGCATATCAATCCAGTTGTTCATACTCTTCTGCCACAGCAGAAGCCAAGACTTGTGAGGAAGACAACTGATAATTCAAGCAGTAAGGTAAAGGACAGAATCTAATGATGAGACAGTGCAGTCAGGAGCTAGAAGATGTCAAAAGAGGGAAAACAGAAGGAAGATGATGAGCTGGACAGGAAGTATCAAGAGAGGTGATATAGCAGACTTGAGGTGGAATGGTGTGGGATCGAGAGAAGCAATCTCTAGGAACTGCTGTTTAATTGCAAAGTCCAGTTTGAGCATGGATTAAGGCTGGACATGTGGGAAAGCTGTAAAGGAGGGAAATTATAAACATGTGAGGTGTTCATTCAGGGAATGAAACGGGAAGATCCCAGGACTGGCGTGTGCTGCTGAAGACTGGAGAGGCAGGTTTGGGGCAGAAAGGCTGGAGGATCTGGGGCAGACATTGGCTGAAGTGGTAGGTAGGATTTGAGCTCTGGAGTAAGCACAGTTGGAGGATGGGCAATTGCTGACAGGGCTGAGATTTTGGAATGAGGTGAGAACCATGATGCAGGATAAGTGATAGGTAGGTGGAGTGAACCAGGCTCTGCAATGGGGCAAGAGGAACACAGGTTCCATCAACCAGTCTAGTAGTAGGGCAGCAACAAAAAGAATTCTGGCAGTGGAGAAGGGAAAAGGAAAGTGCAAGCACACACACACATGCCCCAAGCCCCTGTACTTTTCTTTTTCACTGCTGGAAACAATAGCAGCCCCAGGCCTACCTAGACTGCAGATAGGCAGTGAGTCTGTCCTTCCCTAAAAAGCAAGCAGTGGCTACTATGGCAATAGCAATTTATCCTGACTTACTGAGAGGAGGAGCTTAATGATAAAAGGTATCTCCCTTGCAGTTTGATACCTGCTCTCTGAAGAGCTGCCGTTGCATATGGAATATTACCAACACCTTGGATTAAAAACAGTACTTGCAAAATAGAGTTGTGATTTTAGAAGGTCCAGATTAATGGAAAGGAAAAGCACAGACATGAATCTGGACTTCTGTAAAATAGATAATTACACCATTTCTAAAACAGGTAAGAGGACGATTTATTAAGTATTCATTGCACCTGTATTCTCCAAAGCAATATATTTTTTCCTATTTAGCTATTACACACTGATTAATATGTACACATATGTACAAATTTCGTATTCTTTTAAAATTATTTTTCACAAATATTGTATATTGTAGGCAAATTCTTACATTTCAACTATCCTACTGTAGTTTATGTTTTAATCAGAGAAATAGTAGCTTAATCACAGTAACGACTGAGTCATTAACAGGAAAGGAATTCGGTATTAGCACAAGCTACTTAACTAATTGCATACAAATACTGCTGTATATTGCTTATTATTTCCATCATACTAGTAGCTATAATATGCTAAATGCAGTTAAACTAAAATATGTGAAATGCTCCACTTAATACTCGCATTATATATCCGTGCATATCAACTCAGCTGAACGTAAAAAGGGAATACATGAAATGATTACCTAACAGGTAACATGTTGATGTAAAAACTGCAAATGATGCTTGATATTTTTATAACAAAACCTAGGAATCACTGTATAATGCTTTATTGATTTGGTAAAATTACCTGGAAAGGTACACTTTGAACGCACATGTAACTGAAATATATTGGTGTGTGAATAGTCAGAAATATGGAAAACCTATCTGGTAACTGGAACAGATTTGTACTACATTAAAACATAGTTGGAAACAGGGAAACAAAATTCTCAGAGTAATCCTGAGCAAACAAAGAAATTAAAAACTATAGCAACAACAAAAAAAGTTAATGTAAAATTAGGGCTTCTACCATAAGGAATAGCAAGCAAAAAGGAGCAAGGGGCAATGA